GGCGGCACAGCAAACATCGCTTTCCTTGTCGGGGCTAGTAGCCAGGGCCCCAATGCGGATGCTGTGCAGATGGAATCTACATTCTGGGTTGAGACCATCAAATCTGAGATCATAGTCCAGGACTACACGCCTGGCAAGCCTCTTCTTCTGCAGCCGGCCTACAAACCGGCTCAGGGCAAGACAACGCCTCCGCTTCCGACATTCTCTGTCACGCCCCCTGGTCCTGTCACTGGTCCCAAGACGATTCCCGTGACTTACACACAGATTCAGTACTCGCAGACTGTTAACCTTAATTTCAATGGGTTGACCTGGCCGCATTTGTCGCTGGCTACGTTGGTGCCTTCTCAGCATATCGAGGTTGACTATCCATCCTCTTGATGGAGAAGCCATTGGTGGTAGCAGAATACAGGAGCAATCAAGACCGAAAGAAGGTTTATCAGCTCATCCAGGACGATGAATGGATGAAAAAGAAAATGAGATCAATCTATAGCAGCTAGCCTTTTTCTAGTGTCATCCATATACATATACGAAGCAGTTTCGTCCCTTCAATTCTGTAATACTAACGGACTTTTTATCTGAGCCATCCGGTCTTTCTGCTAGCCTTTCCGTGCATGAGCTTGATACCAACCTGTACTCATGACCTGTGATATCTCAGTCATCCTTCTGCAGCTCAACTCTATAACCAACAAGCTCAAGCTTCTCAGCCGTCCCATCACTACCCTTACCAGATTCGGTAAACACGAAATGCTCATGAGCTAGAAGCTGATACACAATACGATCCAAAGATGCCCAAGTATTACAGTTCCCATCAGGCCACGCAAACAGCGCATTTGCTTCGTCGTTATCCTCTGCAGACCCAGCAGTCGCCATCATTCGCCACGACGATTCAGTATCGCTCTTGAGACCTGTGGGGTACAAGCGGAAGCGTACCTCTCCCGGAGGCGTGGGAAAGGTTGGTGGTAACCCGATGCTGAGGTAGGTGCTTGCGATGTCAATGCCTCTGACTGTCCAGTTCGTGATGGAAAAGCCAGGCTCATCATCGAGGGAGAGAGTAAGAGTAGAGTTGGTCTTGTTGTCAGTGTATGTACCACCGTAAACCTTAGCAGCTTCATCCTTGCCAGCCTCTTCCACAGCAGGTAGGAGTTCTTTGACGATTTCTGAAAAGAGAGTCTGAAGAAGACCACCGCTGACTTCAGGACCAGCGTTGAGAAGCGTGATGGTCAGGTTATAGTCAGGAATTAACACGAAAAGTGAATGATATGTAGTGATATCACCAGCCTTGGTGTAGAACTCAATGAGACGACCATCTTTGGTGACATTGTCAGCTCGGAATATTTCCCAAGGATGCCCAAGTAAGATGCCTCTTGACGATGTACTCGTAGCAGGCTTCAGCCACTTCCTCGTCTCAACAGGACTTAGAAGTTTGTTCTTGAGGATGGCGTCTCCAAAGGCCATCAAATCATTGATCGAAGAATAGTATTCTCCAGCGCTGGTAGTCAAGCATGTCAGTGCCTATCATTCAGTGGAAAAGTACCTGACAAAACTTACGGGTCGCCATAGCCAAGAGTTGCATTCCACCACTCATCATTCACAGGGATGAAACCCAAGGAGTCATCGGGTTTGGAGTAGAATGTGTGCTCCATTCCATTAGGGTCCCAAATTTCCTTCTTGATAAACTCCCCCGAAGATATGCCACTGACCTTCTCAATGATAAACCCCATTATGGCAAATCCAACGTTTGAGTAAACTGGGTTCACAGCGTAAGGCGCGTACACGGGGGGTCTTTCGCCAAAACGTTCGAAGAAGTCTATAGACATAAGCACTGCTCGATTAGGAATTTGAAAGAACTTACCTTCTTTGGTACATTCTGGGATACCTAAGAGACCAGAGCAGTTGAGGCTTTTGGATGGGTCAGCTTTCGGAAAGCCAAGTCTTGTCCAGTCTCCGTAAGGCTCGACATCGGTTGCCACTGGACTCATTAGCACAATATCAATTCTTGATTAGGCACATACCTACAGTCAGCTGGTATACCGCCAATATGAGACGCCAATGCACCAATAGTGACTTGATCCCAGTCAACCGCCCAAACAGCATCTTGCTTTCGAGCTTGTTTGTTCAATGCGCGAAGTTCAGGGACGTATTTCGTGACAGCATCGTCAAGATCAACCTTGTGGAGTTTCAACAAGGCCAGCACTGGGAAAACTTTTGACACACTGGCCAAGCGGAAGACTGTATTGGAGTCTACTTTCTCGACCCCACGAGGGTCAACCTTTGGAGGCGTACTGGCGAATTCGAGTAGGTAGTCATCTTCGTAGGTTGATTTTATGGCGACTGCTATGGAAGACAGATTAAAGGGAGCAGTCTCTTCTTCAAGTCTTGCTTGAATAGCAGCTACTGCTGACTTGACTGAAGAATGGGTGGATGGGTGGACAGGAGCAGGGAGGACGGGGCCCAGGGGAGGACAATGGCCTCCCCGAGCTGCGAGGGAGCCCCCCACGAAGAGAGATGTGTAGGTAAAATATTGAAGCGTCTTCATCTTAGCTCAGAGCTTCACTCAGACTCGAAATCTATCTGGGAAACGGGAATAGCAGGTAATGCGCTACTCACTACATTTATACTCAGCCAGATACTCTAAAGACCGACGGCTAATTAGCCCTCGTCTGCGGACGAAGGGATTACAATGATTAACAATATTGCTTACTCCCCGGCAAGTCCAAGTCATGAGATATCCTACGTAAGCTTATGGCGTTCCAAGATGACGAAGGATTCATCATATCACGGTTAGAAAACTACCAGATGAAGCATTAATTACCATTCTTGGATTCAACCTCCCACGCCCAATAAGATTTGTTACGTTTACAAATTGCAAATAAGACTAACGTAGGCCTTGAACAGCTGAAAGAAAACAAACATCGAGATCTTGCAGCGGGAGATCATGGTGTCTTGGCAGTAAGACGATGTCAGCTGTGCGGCTCAATCAGGCTGCTCACAGTCGCTTGATGACGTAAATACGGGGAGGACAAGTCCCTGTAGGTCCGTATCACGGAGAGATTTATATAATCTTTTGTTCTTTTCCAGGATCTTATTTGGGACCTAATGGTCTGAACCAGTGGTTACATGGATTCATGTCATTCATTAATATGGTATATATAAGTAGTAGCTCATCTAGACGCATCACTCCGTCTAAAAACGAAAGGAATATATAATGCGTAGAGTTAGATCCTCGCGCGAGTAATTAATATGTGACATAATGTTCATCATCTATAACGTCCTTGGCTGGTGGGCCTGGCACAGCTCTTAACTAGCTTGAGGACCGCAGAGCTTTGTGAATGTGATGTCATCAACATTGATCGTAAGCTGATCATACTCCCCGGAGCACTGCAAGACAAGCGACAGGTCAGCCTGAGCAACAGCGTTGCTTCCACTTGACCAGGTCTTGCTCTCGGAAGTCCAACCGGTGTAGCCGTCGGGATAAATAGGCATGAGTGTATCGTCTCCGACCTGGGGAGCGATGCTGCACGAGAAGCCAGCGCCGACATTGACGCCGGAGAAGACGCCCCAGTTGTATGATAGTCGGTAGGTGCCGTCGAGATTGGTCAGAGTCTGGGAAATCTGGGCGCTGCCGCCGCCATTTGAGAAGACGAAAGAGCTGGAGTGCTGTTAGCGCAGGCGAGATGCAGAGAGGTAGTGATAATTACATGGCATTGGGGGCGGAATTGGCGCCGTCAGTGATGATCGAGCCGTCGCCGAACCAAGGTGATTTACTGCTGGCGCTGTCATCGAAGCCGGGATTGACAACGACCTGGGTTTCGACGCAGGCGGGCGCTTCGGTGGTCGTCGTGGTCTCAGCGACGGCAGTAGAAGTGGTCCCCTCCAAGGCCGTAGAAGTAGTCTCCACAAGGGCAGTCGTTGCAGTGGTAGCCAAGCTCGTAACAGTCGTGTCGGAAGCGATTGTCGAAGAAGCCTCAGCAACGGTCGTCACGGTCGTGGGTCGGCAGGGGCCAGCTTCGACTCCAAGGATGGCGAGAGCCACAGCGAGGATAGAATAGCGAACCATTTTTGCGATTGATTAAACGAGTGGCAGCGACTGAGACAGCGCAGGTAAACGAATGTAAGGTTGCAGAACGCAAAACCGGTTCAACGGTATTTGGGCGTGGCGCCTCCTTTTTAATGCCCGCTGTCAAATTGTCAAAAACGCTCCGAAGGTGGTGTTGGCTGGACGCGAATTACTCGTTGGCGCCGCGCTAATGCCAATGGTTTCAGAGGCTATCAAAGTCTAGAGGGATTGAATCCGTCAGTGTGTGGGGGCTGATGATGTGTACCTTGCATCTAACGCGCATCTAACGCAGTTGAGATGGTCTACGGGCAGGGGTATCTCAGCCCCAGTGAGCTAACAAGGTCGTTGATGAAAAGGGACTTTGTGCCTGGAATAAGCAATAAGCCACCTGAGAAATGGCAAAACAAATAGATCAAGCAGTGTCTGACCCGGTGGTATAATTAGCAATAGATTCTATTTTCTTTGCAAGCCGCAAGGATGGAGACTGACGTTCTTTCACCCAGATCGTTGCTAACATGAATGAGGCCAACATCACCCGATTGACTCACAGTCTATAACAAGCATGAGCTCTCAAGCCCCGAGGATTTGACCTCTGCCTTTTTGTCAAGCTCGTTCTTTGGTATCGCCCAAGCTCAGATAGAGCTGCACGCCAGGTGTCGACAGTTGATGGGGCTTGGTCTACCATCTATGTTGATTGTATGGGCTACGTCGGCAGGGTCGGAAAGCTCCAGATTACTTTCCAGTCGTAGAATGAGGATATTAAAGCCTCATTTATATTTAATGAGCTTCCGTCATGCCAAATTTACTTTTTTAATCTACTCATGTGGAGAAACGAGGTCTGCTAAAACAATGAAGACTCTGACTAGGACTAACAGAAAGATGAACGAGAGACAGTAGGTGTGAGTATGAGGGTGAACTAGTAAAAGATACTATCAAAGGAAGCCTAAGGCCAGTCTAAACTCCCATCGGAATCAGGCCTCTTCATAGTGAACTCAGCTGGCTGAGTTACATTGATCACAATCGGCTCTTTCTTCATCTTTTCATCTGTCCGCTCAGCCAACGGCTTACAAAGGAGCTCTTCCATGCTCCCTTCAAACCATTCCTTTATAGTAGATGCCTTATCAATCCCAACTCGATAAGTATGACCATTCTCGAGATTCTCCGCACTCCACCATTTCCAAACCTTGGGCTGCTTTGCAATTGCCTCCTTGTATTCTTCTACAGTGCTATTCTCAGGGAGTTCAATGCTTCCAACTCCACTTTCTATGCGCGATATATATCCGTTCTTAGTATGTTTCTGTCCAGGATGTAGTGTAAGGAAGCACCCTTTGTTGTCCTCTCGCAAAGACCCTTGGTGACCGGGCCCAGGGATAGAGATTATATTTCGACGAGCCTCGGTGCCAGTCTCGGTGTCAGTGAAGGTCAGACCACCTTCATTCATAGGGGATTCGAAAAGACGGATATCTTTAATAGGGAACGTGATTGGGCGATTGTGTTGGAGGAAAAGATCAATAGTGATGCCATGGTGATGTTCCGCTTCCAAGTCAAAATCGATGGATGAAGTGGAAATATGTGCTTCGATGAAAGGCATAATAAGCAATATTTTAAAGATGGGCCACTCTGAATCTAACGGAATATGATTATATGACGAGCAGCTTGTTTGCACCAAGTGAGTAAATAAATAAGGCTTAAGAGACCTTAAAAGATTAACTTAAATTGGCTACCTCAGATAAGGGAAGCCAAGCTAAGATACGCACGGTCCTATTAATCTGAGCCATGGTTTTCCCGGCAGATCAGCTATTTCGAAGAACTGCTTAACCTGTAGCGAAAGATATATGATATTGTATAAAATATAGCCTGCAAAGTCACTGTTGTATGATAATGGAGGTCTTTATCTTTAGGTACTATAGCCTAGTGGCTTTGCGCAACATATAATGTGGTCTTGCGTAAATGACGTGACCACCAAACTGTCCCTCAAATTGCCTGACAATACATGTTGCATACATTGAGAAATTGAAAAAGAACCAAGAGTTGCTTATAAACTGTATCTTACTATAACTGGCCAAGTAGAGCACCATAAGGTAACTAGAGAAATACTTTAGTTTCAGTGAGTAATAAACGCTAGCGACAAGGGTTTGTGTTCACACACGCCGAATATACCGGGATAGTAGATACAGGGTAGGCTAAAATAATCTCCAGCTCAAGCCACCGCGTCTGCCAAGAGACATCATATCTCAGCAACCATGAAACACACCCTGTTGCTGATAAAATAATATGATACCATCACCCCGCACCAGCTGTTCAGCAAGGTAGGGCACTATCGTACAACAACACACGCGTTGTCTCCAATGGGTCGATGAGACTACTTCCCTCGACCTCCGTCCCCTCAATACAACGTCACCCGATTGGGCGGATAAATACATTCAGCCCAGCCGGATATCACCAACATGCATTTGCCCAAGATGTGCGGGAACATAAGTATCAACTCAGCTGCCGATACCAACTGCCATCTCGAAAAGGTCAAGCTTGCACAAAACAAATCAGAGACAACCACAATGTCCCCCTCCAACCCCATCATCCCTGGCTTCTCGCCCGATCCGTCCATCGTCAAGGTTGGCGAGTGGTACTTTCTTGTCAACTCGACTTTTCACATGTTCCCGGGTATTCCCGTTTACGCATCCAAGAATCTTGTGTCGTGGAAGCAAATCGGTAGGTGGTCCATATCTCATTGTGAGGACTGTTGCTGACTGGTGTAGGAAATGTTATCAGCAGACCGGGACAGGTTATTCTGGAACGGTCAGACACCGAAGTCAACCGTATGCCAGATGTTGGAGAAGTAATGCTAGCGACTGGTGGCCTTTTTGCACCAACAATCCGCTATAATAATGGTACTTTCTACGTTGTTTGCACGAACGTTGTAAGAGCGACGGAGGATACGCGGTATGCTCTGCAAAACTTTATTGCTACCACGAAAGATATCTGGTCAGGCCAATGGAACGACTTGATCTGGTATGACTTTGACGGCATTGATCCCAGCATCTTGTTTGACGATGATGGAAAGACGTATATCCAGGGCTCCAAGTCGCCTGGCCCATACACCAGAATCGCCCAGTTTGAGATTGATATCGCGACGGGCAAGAAGTTGTCTGAAGAGAAGATCCTCTGGGAGGGTACGGGTGGCGTTTACCCAGAGGGACCGCATATTTACAAGCGAAATGGCTGGTACTGCCTCATGATTTCAGAGGGAGGAACCCACGAGGACCACATGATCACCATGGCTAGATCCCGCGATGTCTGGGGTCCTTACGAGCCATGCCCCGAGAATCCAATCTTAGTCCCGGCAAGCAAAGACATGTACATTCGTCACACAGGCCACTGCGATGCCTTTGAAGATGAGAACGGTCAATGGTGGGGCGTCCTTCTCGGAGTCCGCAGAGATAAAGATGGAAGATACAACATGGGACGAGAGTCACATCTCACGCCCGCAAAGTGGACCGATGATTGGCTCCGTCTTGAATCCGTCGAGGCTGAAATTAACACATCCCGGCTCGCCAGTGCAAGCGCAGAGCAGGGATTGACGGCTGTGGAGGGCGTGGATTTGCTGTACATCCGAGACCCAGTTTTGGAGAACTACAAGATTGACAGCGGAAGCAAGACGATCAGTGTAACATCATCGCCCATCGATCTGTCGCATCCACAGGAATCACCCAGTTTTGTGGGTAAGCGACAGCGTCTGCACGCAGGCCAAAGCAGCGCTACATTCAAGATCAATACATCTTCCAAGGTCAAGACTGGACTGGCAGTTTATAAAGATGAACACCGTTACTTGCGGGTCTTTTACGACACCGCCGAAAGAGCGGTAGTTTACGAATTCGTCAATAACGCCAAGGATCTTAAGAAGACGGAACTGCGCGCGGTGGACAGGGATGTTGACACCATCCAATTCCGCTTTGAGTACACTGAGAAGGAATATCGGGTATTTTACTCAGCCGGTACAGACTGGGAGCATGTTGCGACGCTTGATACGCTCGATATGACCGGCCCAGACTTTGTAGGCCCCGTTATCGGCGTGTTTGCCTTGGCGCAGGAGAGTGTCACGGTTGAAGTCGTTGATCTGCAGGTAGAGTGAGTAGATAAGCGTGCCAAGTCAACTAAGATTGAGCTCGGTTCGGCTACGCTGAGCTTTGTATATCCGGTTCCAGCCTATTGGTGTGAAATGCATGTCCCATCGTGACTCTCTGACACATGACTCTAATTCCTGTTGGTCCTTGATTAAGCTTTCAGCCTAACATTTAACCGCTGAAGCCCAACAGGCTAATTGACCTCTACGCCCGCGCATGTCTATCACAGCAATTAACCGCTTTACGCCAATTGGACATGTAAATTCCCCATGGGGATGATTTTCGCTCCTCGTAGCTCGGATAAAGACATGCGGGGGAAACAAGCTTCAATTTGGGGTAAGCCGAGTCAATGGCTGAGCGTGGAGGGTCCCTGGAACAGTCTGTTGGTTTTAAGCTCTTACATCATCTGGCTAAGTCGAGTCAGTGATATAAAGCTACCGCGTCTCCCCAGTGTTGATCCCTTCTCAGATCCTTCACTCACTGACACGGGTGAAAGCTACAGGCATCATGGGTCTTCTCACTCCTCCTCAGCGGACCCAGAAGGTCATTCCTGATAAGCCAGCCAAAGGGCATTTCTTCTTTGCTGGCAAGGAATTTGCTCGTGTGCCTTGGTGGAAGAGGTCTAACATGCGAATTTTGTACTTTTACATTGTTATTCTCATTCTTACCAACACTGCCAATGGTTTCGATGGTAAGCTTCACTGCAGTAGGGCTTCGCTTGTGCGGCTTGCTAATATGATCAGGTTCCATGATGAACGGTCTTCAGACCCTCTCCTACTGGCAAGAGTACTTCAACCACCCACGAGGTTCCATCCTCGGTCTGTTCAACGCCTCTATGAGTCTTGGTTCTCTCATTGGACTCTTTGTTGTGCCTTATCTGGTTGATTGGGCTGGCCGTAAGGTCGGTGTGCAGATCGGTTGCATTCTCATGCTGCTGGCTGTTGGACTTCAGGCTGGAGCTCAAAACTTTGGCATGTTTGTTGCCGCGCGTATCATCCTGGGTTTCGGTGATTGCATCGTTCTTGGATCGGCGCCTCTTCTCATCGCTGAGATTGCCCACCCTCAAGATCGTGCTATCCTCGTGACATTGAGTGGTGCTTCTTATCACTCTGGTGCTTTCATTTCTAGTTGGGTCACCTATGGTACCCTGCAGATCAAGGTATGCCACTGTCTCGCACCGAAGAAGAATGTGTTTTAATACTGATATCCGCTCAGAGCAACTGGTCCTGGAGACTTCCTAGCCTTCTTCAGTCCATCTGTAGTGTTATAATTCTCATCGGAATCTTCTGGATGCCCGAGAGTCCCCGTTGGCTCCTCAGCAAGGATAAGCACGACGAAGCGCTTAGGGTCCTCACCCACTACCACGCAGAGGATGACCCCGATGATGAATTCGTCCAGCTCGAGTTTAGCGAAATCAAGGCCGCCATCGCCCTCGACAAAGAGGTTGGACAGACAGCCTGGGTCGACTTCCTCAAGACTCCCGGTAATCGTAAGAGAATCGGCCTCATCACTGCCCTTGGTTTCTTCAGTCAGTGGAGTGGCAACGGTCTGATCTCTTACTACCTCAAGGGTATTATGGATGCTGTCGGTATTACAAAGGCTGAGACTCAGCTTGGTATCAATGCAGGTATGAAGACACAGGGTTTGATCATCAACACAGCCTTTGCCTTTTTTATTGATATTTTCGGTCGTCGGCCTATCTATCTCACCTCTACTATCGGAACCTGTGTCATCTTCACTTTCTGGACAATTGTCTCGGCTCGATACGACATCGACCCCAACAAGGCTCTTGGATACGCCTTTGTGGCTCTGACCTTTATCTATGGTCTCTTCTACGACATCAAGTGAGCTCCTCTCTCTAGCATGCCCCGACTTCAAAACTAACAGTCTGCAGGTCTGGTCTCATGGCCAACTACACCACTGAGATTCTGCCCTATGGTCTTCGTGCCAAGGGTTTCACATGGCTCAACTTCTGTGTTACCGCCGCGCTCTTCTTCAACCAGTACATCAACGGTATTGCTCTTGAGGCTATGGGCTGGAAGTACTACACCATCTACTGTGTCTTCCTCGGTTTCGAAGTGTATGTCATTTACTTCTTCCTCATCGAGACCCGCTACACGCCTATGGAAGAAATCGCGAAATATTTCGATGGTGATGCGGTTGATGTCGGTGAGGTCGCTAGGGCTGATATGAAGGAGCGAGGTGTTATGATGACAGAGGTGGACTCTAAGGGAGCTCGTGCTACGGAGATTGAGACTCGCTAGAGTGGATGACATCGCTTGGTGGATATGTGGCTGATGACAGCATGAAGGATGGAGGAAGGTAACATACCATAAGATTACCCGAGAAAGTATGGACGTTTTTGGTTGTAGTCGCAAGGCACTTCTCAATGCGGGGATCACACAGCTGTCGATTAAGTTCAATGATAGTCATCCAGTAGGCCAGTGATTAGATATGGTTCATATTATTGGGCCGAGAGATACCTCTAGCGTCCATCCCAGCAGAACATATATACAAGAAACTTTTTCATATGAACCATAAAGGCCAGCTTGACACCATCAACACAAGAAATAAAACAGCTTCAGAGCCTCTAGCCCTGCCCCCACTGCACCACGCTACTCAACCAGCTTAAAAGTTGGACCAACTTAAAAGTTGGACTTGGCCTTGGTGACGACACCAGACTTGAGAGCAACGTTCTTGACGATGACCTTCTTGTTGTTGACGCTGGTGACGCGGACCCAGGCAGTGTCGTTGGGAAGCGTGCCCTTGAGGATCCACATGTTGGGGTCGTTGAGCTTGGTAGCCTTCCAGGTCTTGCCGTTGTCGCTGCTGACGTCGACGGCCTTGACGCGGTGAGTGACGTTCTCGATGGTAGCGGCGAACCAGTACTTGGAGGCGCCACCGTGCATGTGGACCTGGAGAGGGGACTTGAGAGGGCAGGCAATCCACTTCCACTTGATGCCGTCGACACCGCCGCCGGTCATGCCGTTGGTGAGTTTGGACCAGGTGGCGGGGGTCATGTCGAGATGGTTCTTGTCGCCGCCAGTCTTGTTGGTGACCTGTACCAGTTAATACCCACATATTTATATCACTGCGTGTACTTGAACTTACCATGATCTTGAGGGACTTGCCCTTGTAAGAAACCTGAATGCACCCACCGCAGTTGGCGCCATCCTTCCAGATATCCTCAGAGACACAGGTGGTTCCGTCAATGCCAGCGGGCAGGTCGTAGCCGACAAAGCTGCAAGCACCCTTCTGCCAGCAGTCGTCCTCAGTGCAGCCATCGCTAAGGCCGTATCGGGTGCCGAGGCCGGTGTAGACGGGGTTCTTGGAAGTAGCAGCGGCGTTGGCAGCCGTCGAGGCTGCGGCCAAGAGGGTGACGAAGTAAGTAGAAAAGCTTCCGAACATGTTTGCGTTTGGTGTTGGAAATGAATGAATGTAATGTCGAATGACGTTTGTTGTAAATGAATGGATGAAGAAATAAAAGCTTGGAAAAAAAGAATGTGTTGATGAGATTGAATGGTCGTTGGTGGTTAGAGCAGGTCTAGCCTTATATATAGAAGCAGCATTCCAGAACACCATCCAGTAATTTCCTTGCTGATGAGCTGACTAGGTTCTCGATGCTGACGAGGTTTTGACTAAGTGCATCGATCCCTAGCTGTTTCCATTTCGAACCCCTGTATTTCCTAACTGCCATTTCTCCAGGATTGGTCTGGACTCACAAACGTAAGAGGGGGAAGTCGAAAGGCAAAGCCGTGATGGTTTCATTCAACGATCCGTCTAATATCAAGATCGTGTTATTGATGCCGGTTTACCGTGATGGTTTGCGCTACTGTGTTTCAGACTTGACAGGTTTGGCGGTATGCCAATCAAACTAAGCGAGTGCATCCCTGTCAGGCCCCGATAGCCGGCTTCTGCGGAGGGAAGGCCGGTGGACCGTTTCGTGCGGCTCCGAGGGGGTAGTCTTCTAGAAAATATGTTTTTATTGGAGCGCAAGGCGATTGTGGATGATTTAATGTTATATTACGATACGGTATATAGCTTAGCGTGGTGTAAGCGAGGAGGTGAACGAAGATGAACGAGACAACAAGAAAACTAAACCCAAGCCACAGCTGCACTCTAATTGAGTGCCGAGTTCCACGGCATAACTTTACTCTGAGACTTAGCACTTGGCCGATGCAAATGCACTGACGTAGGACTAAGAAAATGGTTGCATCGATCCGATCTAGTAGACTAGCAATACTTGAAGTGAGACAATGCGGTGGATCCCCGATAGCTGAACCTCATTCTGTCTGCATAATACCTCAAACTGACTCTGTAGAGTAGTATTATATCCACGATCAGTACAACGCAAAAACCGTTGAGATTTCAATATCCGATAGCATGGCTGACGTGGGTCTTGCTGAAACCGCGGCTTGGCAAACAAATTGCCGGGCGCGATGTCAATTTGCGAGAAGTTTCGGTGTTTGATTGAACAGCTGGGATGATTGGTCCTGAGCTGGGGTTCTTGGAGGCCGCTGCTGGGACGCGGATATCGCTGCTCACTCTCATATGATGACACTGCAGCTGATGACAAAACGGCGTATGCAGCCGAGAGGGGACATAATTAGGGAGCGTTGAGTCAGTATTGTTAGACATCAGATAACGACAGTCTCTGCGTACAGACGGAAGCTCGAAAGTCTTTAGCAGCTACACGATGTCAAGGTAAATGACAAGCTACGGATATAAGCGTCACGCCGTTTCGTTACAGTGCTACCAGGATAGTCCCGGTCAAGCTTTCTTACGGCAATAGGTTTGGCATCGCCAAGCACGGCTGATGTGCCGGTGTCTTGGTACAATAAACGAACGTAAAATCTACCGAGCTGTCCTCGGTGCCGCATTCTCAAAAAGACTTCGGTGAAAGCAACCTGGATCAATAAACATGCTGAACAATAAGAGTCTGGTAACTGTCAGTTATCAGGCTATGTTCAAGAAGCCTCCAACATGGGCTGATAATAAGAGAATACGCACGACTCGTCACCAATGCCGCCTATACAACATAATTTCAGCTTCTAAATGACTTGTCCTACACCTGAAACTTGAAACCCCCTGGCTAGGTTGGGTGACATCCAGTAGCGGGCGCCAAGATGCGAAACGTGGGGTTTTTCATCCCAAGTGCCCCCGCTGTAGGTTTGGAGATACTCTCCCAAGTCTCTCAGCCGCAAATCTTGGCTGTTATCAGGCCTTTTTATACATTCACGGTATCCTCATGATACGTGAGCGTCGCACGGAAAACTCGCTCTTCCGTGGAATTGCTATTATTGGGAGCTGGTTCAGGGGCTTTGGCGACCGCTCTGCCCCGGGAAAAGACCAACAAAGCTCTTGTGGACCAGTAGCAAGTCTCTTGGAGAATTTGGCCTCCAACATGAGTTCACCTAGTATATCAAGTTGCAAAGCTTGAACTCAATAGGACAGATGCCCTCCTTGTCGTCGTTGAGAAACATACATCACAAGAGGCATGCGATTACGTGCTGGGGTTTTGCTGCTCCAATACATCTTACTAGTTATCCCCCGTATACGATATATGTCAACTCTGATCAGCTCAGTGTAACTTGATTTCATTCATAATCCCGTCAAATATAAACAGACCCGGGAAACTCATTCCTCCATCTTGTCCGCATGATACGCAACTTTCGACATTTACCCAGTCTGCTATACGAGAGTGACTATCATGGCTTCCCAGGCATCTGTTTCATAGTCCCATTCCGCTTGTTCATAAATACCCACCCTACGGTACATCTGTGAGCTACCATCAAGCTCTACTAATAGCCCATACGTTCTCTTGATGTGCAAGCAAAGTACAGGCTTTCCCTGATAAGTGTCTGCCAACTCTTTAGTATCAAAGTCGAGGTGGAAATAGCCACAAAGGAGAATTTTATCGTATCCACGGCTTCGACCGGATTTGTTTCTCTTCTCCCAGCGTTTCTCTTCGATGAACTGCGCTCCGGCCCACCCAAAGTAACAATTAGTTTGCGTAAATGAAAATGAGGGCCCGAGGTAGCTGCCGTCATGGGATACTGCCTCTCTGATCCATGCTTCCTTAAATCTCAAGGGGCGGGGTATCTTGAAATCAAAGACGTCATACTCCTTACTTAGCTCTTCGTATCTCCTCCATATATTTGAAGGAAGGCGGTGACCACTCCAAAGAGTGTTGATCCCCATCACCTCAGCAACTCTTTCTCCGGGTGATGGATTCCAATTGTAGCGCGTACCTACCACCTTTCTTGCCAGGGTCTGGATTTCCAGCTCCGCTCGACACGTGCGGCCCATGGATAGAGCCGCAGGCTCACTTGGATTAATGACAAAACTTTGTAAGGATGCATCTGGAAGCCGGTCCATATCCTCCAAAGAGCTTGACAGGGGTGAATTAGCACGTTGAAACTCGACTTGGCATTCTGTGGTCGCCCAAGACCACGATGGGCCAAGGCGGCTTTGTTTGGTGCGACATTCAGGTAGCGGCTGGAATCTCTTGAAAAGGAGGCCAGTGAGGATATCGTCTTTCCAGAGTCCGGAAAAGTATTCGTCACCTGTTATGTCTTTAAACTTCTGCGCCAGCGCCCAAATAGCCGGCAGCCGATCCTCCGGTCTGGTTAAGTGTTTTTGGCTATACTGTGTGACCATGTCGTACCATTGGCTATACAGTTGTTTTTGAGGCTTTTGGTTGGACTTTGAACCACTCGCTATCTCTGAAGTCGTTTCCTGGTCGCCTGACTTGTCTCGCTCAGCTCTTAAAAAGTTCTTAGGGCCGTTTCGCGTTACTGGAACTGTCTCAGGCGACGAGGCAACTTCCCCCCTAAACTGTTGAGATTGCTCGGGTGGACGACAGTAGATTGATTCTGTAGCCGATAGTTCGCGGCATTCCCAGATGATCTTCCCTGGAAGAAAGTGCACTGTCCTGGGCGAGAGTACATTTTCCTGCAACACCCAACCTCTGCTGGTGAGTGGTATGGGCCTCCCGAGACCTAGATCGTCAAATTCAGATTGGGGATCAAAGGTCCAACAAACTTGTCGAGATTGCATCCATTTCCCCCAAGGATTGCGCTAAGATACTGGGTCAATCTGCTGCTTCCAAGAACATGAGGTGACGTGGTACTGGTTTCGTTCTAAAAACAGACCTCCATGGCTGTCTGGGGAGTAGCTCGCTGCAAGATTCAAGATGCCTTTTGAATAGATGCTTGCCATGTTGGAGCTTTCACGTTCCCAGTCAACTTTATCGCCCTGGATAATGCAGAGCGAGTCAATCCAGAGGTAAGTAAAGCCCAGTTTCCTAGTGACCGTAATAGCATCTCTGAACGTACGTGGCAAGTTCTTGGAGAGGATCTCCAGATTTCCTCCAGTAGTCCTACGGAATATGTTGACATTCCGGCCCCAACAGTGACTTAGTGTGAGGTACGGTGCCTGAAATCCATGTTTGGTCTCTATGAGACGAACTGTACTTGATTCAAGCGTACCTACGTCGACTAGCCTGGTAGGTATATGTGTTGTGGAATCATGACGGCATTCTCGATGGTCAGCCTGGCATTGCCGCAGCCAGTTCCCAAGCATGTCGAATATCGCGTCGGGGATCCCGCCGGCGAGATGGCAATATGTCCCAGCAGGCTGTGCTAGTGCATCCTTGTCATCTGGTCTGGCGATTAGCAAGAACATGATGAGCTAGAACGCAGCCACAAATACCTTTTAAACCTAGCCGAATTTCAGTGTATTCCTTGTTGGCGGTAACATCAAAGACACATCTCCGATCGGTCGTGTCTCTGATGTCAAACTTGAGCATGACAGGCAGGTCTGGATCGATAGGGGATGCAGCACAATATAGTTCTATGAGATTGCAAAGGTGACAACCGGCTTTTGCAGCCTGGCTTAAAAGATGGAAGGACTCATGGTGCCTGACTGAACCCTCTGCCAGATGGTCGCAAACAAGAACATAGGACTCATCGCATTCGCGGAGCATTTTCCTCCACGTATCGTAAGAATCCAAAGCATTGGCAAATGCTGATGAACATGTCGCACATAGATTATCTATACCGTAGCTTGCCTCACCAAGCTCGGCGCTCCCGCATTGCTGCGGTAATGAAGACATTCAAGAATGTGAGTCTAAGGTGACTTGATACGAAGGGGAAGTGCTGGAAGAAAATGACATGCTTAATATATGAAATATGGTTGGGATGTTGGAAGTTACAATTGATATGTATTTTCATACTATGTTTGTGGTTAATTATGGAGTGGTAAGGCAGACAGAGTCGAGGTATGCGCGTTGATGCACACGACAAGGCTTGAAGATGCGCTCTTTATTGGTCAACGTAACCGCCTGCTTATGCTGCATAAGCGGTCAGAGACGCCCCACTGTGCTGGATATCACTGGTATGAAAAACGTGGCTGTGTTCGCCTATCTACGGATTGACATTGGAAATGAGGCGGGAAACATGGGATTCATGCTCTCCATAGCCAAGCTGCTAAGGCACAACTGCCCATTTTAGTTGAAAATTCCAAGTTTGACCTGCAGAAGGGCTCCAGATCCATTCATTCTCCACAGCAGAATATCAATAGGTAATCTTTACGAGAATGCAAGAAGTAACAGTGTATTAAATTTACAATAAAATATATATTTTGTTATACTTTAGTTTATGAAATTAAAATTAAAGTGATTATTTTAATTCTTAATATATAACTTAACAGTTTATTTAATATAGATATAGATAAATATGTTTTTAAAAGTATTTATTTATTATTCTTAATAGATTTATCTTTAAAAGTGAAAGTATTAAGGTAAAATAGTCTAAATATTTAAATATTAGCTTTATTTAAGACCCATTCCTTAAAACATGTAAAACATATAAAGATCATTTATCCACCTCAGATACAAGCTTTTGAACAAGTCCCCAGTCTTGATAATACCGCTGTAAATAAGTGCAAATAGCAGGCATCTCATACCTGGCACGAATATCTATCCACCACCTACATTCACGTGCCCTAGTATACCACAGGTACAACAGCGTAAGGGCTACCGGATCTTTCTGCTCAAGTAAAAATTTAAATTCGCCCCTTATCTTGGTTGAGAACTTCATAGCTTTGCCGAGTGTAGCCTGACCAACAGGTACTGCTAGCAGTTCAGACAAGCCATGTGCAACCCTAAAGTAAGGATTGTTATATGCCGTAGAGGTTTCGTCAAGCATGCAAAGCTGCTTTAGCTCCGCTAGTACACCATTGATGCCTTCGATGGGCAAGGATTGATGCATCGAAGCAAACATATCAGCCATTGGCGTAAAGATGCTTGTTTCTCGTAGAGGGTCTACTAATTGCCATAGCCTCATCTTGCCAGCTGCAAGACCTAGCCACTCAAGGTCAGAAGAGTCTGGTGGTCCAAGAGGCCAAGTTTCCTCTAAAGGACATGCATTAATAGACGCGAAGCCTAGGATGCCAAGCGTGCTTGCTGCGGCCCAGATAGGATCCTTGTGCTCTTCTTTGATAGGCTGGCCCAGCGACTTTTTGAACAATGAAGTGCATTGAGACCAATGATATGTTTCACAAAACGATCGACGATGAATTGGCGTTACTCCAAGGTAGCGATCATGGACAGCCGTCACGGCCAACATGCCATGTAATAAAAATGGACGCTACAAGGCAATTGTAAGTTATTTGTTCGTTTCCTTTAGGCTTGTACTCACTTTGAAGGACAATGCCAACATGTGCTTGTTGTGTATCTCTACTGTTTCTGGCCCGCCAAGAGAGTGTAAGGTTCTGCACTGGAAACGATTGAAAAGGTCTTGGTCATGTGCATTGAGCATGTAGAAAGCAGTCTCATCGGCCACCCATATGCAGTTACCCATAGACGACTGTGGTGACGGAATAGTAAATTGCTTTGGCATGTTTTTCTTAATTTGTTCCTCGGGAAGTGACTGGAAATCTGGTACGTTGAACCCGAAGTTGCATACGACGCCGTAAATCTGGCACTTGACACAACATGGCCTCGATTCATCACACTAAGTCGTCGAAGATAAGTCAACAAGGCTTGAGGAAGTACAGGTGACTCCTCATCGACTTACCTTCACTTTCCTCAGCTTGCAGTTGCGACAACCAAATCGCGACTTTCGACCACGTTGCATATCCCCCCTCTTAGTGACTGCAATGGTCTCGGAGCCCATAATCGATAAATATTCAATTGACTGTTCCACAGGCTCTCGTTCGCTGGTGTCCGACTCAATATTGACAAGCCGATAAAGGATGTTGTGCGGAGGTTAGCATATTCTTAAATCCGGCAGATTACTAACTCCGTCCGGGAACGAACGTGATACGATCTTCATTTATCTGTAATCAGAGTTCTCGCTAACCTCTGCTCGGGATTGAACCATCTTGATTGGTCAACGACAGTTCCACCTGTGATCAAAATGTTCCAGTCAAACAAGGCCATCATCTTCAACCAGGCGCCTTTACTTCTAATTGGTATTAACTTTCGCTATGATAACAGTTGAGGTTGCCGGCAACCCGAGAGTCCAAAGAGGTACACGCGGAGAGACAATAGATATATAATAAGCCATCATTTGTCCTGGACGAGACCAATCCGTCCAGTTCTTTGTCCCCCAAAATCGCAAAGGAAGAGTCTTTCAATCTTCTCTCAAAGACTCATTTTATCTTAACCCTATTTATCCAAACCATCTATAATCATGCATGTTTTTGTTACAGGCTCAACAGGCTTTGTCGGCTCAGCTGTCGTCAAAGAACTATTAGCTGCCGGCCACTCTGTCCTCGGCCTAGCCCGCAGCGACAAAAGCGTCGAGCAGCTCAAGAGCCAAGGCGCCGAAGCCCTTTTCGGAACCATTGAGGACTTGGAAGTTCTCAAGAAGGGTGCTTCTGTGTCTGATGCCGTCATCCATCTGGCCTTTGTACACAACTTTGCCGATTTCGTCGGTTGTTGCGCCATTGACCGTGCGGCCATTACTGCTATGGGTTCTGCTTTGGTTGAGGCCGGAGGCAATCGCGCCATGGTCATTACTTCAGGCACTATGATGCTTACCCAAGGAAAATTGGGCTATGAGGACGACAAGCCCGATATGAGCCATCCTTTTGCGGCAGCTCGTGGAGCTTCTGAACAATTGTGTCTCGATTTTGCCAAGCAAGGTGTTCGAGCTTGTGTTGTTCGACTTCCTCCTACGACGCATGGTGCTGGAGGAGCTTCTGGGTTCATGGGCCCATTTGTGAAAGTCGCACTCGAAAAGGGTGTCTCTGCATATGTTGGCGACGGCCAGAATCATTGGTGCGCTGGTCATCGTGACGATGCGGCTAGATTGTACCGTCTGGCTACCGAAAAAGCAGAGCCTGGATCTGTTTTCCATGCTGTCGCCGAGGAAAGCGTCACAGTCAAGGACATTGCTGCTGAAGTTGGCAAACAGTTGGATATTCCTGTTGTCAGCATTCCTGCGGAGAAGGTACAAGAGCATTTTGGCTGGTTTCAATTTGGAGCTATGGCTGACAATATTGTCTCGAGTGCTAAGACCAGGGAGGTGTTGGGCTGGAGCCCTACAGGACCCACGGCTCTGGAGGACATCAAAGCTGTAGTTGACTTTACAAAGTCTCAATCGGGATAGTCCTTATTTATAGCGTTGGATTGAATCGAGGTTGGCGTACTTAAATGCGCCTTTCAGCTATTCGCATTCTTCTCTCTCTGCCATAGCTTAACCTTCTCATAAGAGGATCTAACAGGGTTGTGGAGGTCAGCAGCAGTAGCAGTCGTAGCAGCACCGGCACGTTCAGCTACAATTGCGTCACTTACCTAGTGGCTGCAGCTTGAGCCACTGCTACAGAACTACTTCTTCTGCAAGGGTGCGGACAACTACTTGGGGGACGCTAACATTGGCTAACATAGCTATATATGAGTATTGTAAGTTTTATTCTATAAATACAGACTGAACTTGCTTCTCTTCTGTACTACTGAAACTGGAGTTCCCATGCTCCAGCAACCTCGTCGCGATCGGCGAGCAAGCGGCTGAAAAACTCGGCTGTTAGATCTCATGTCTTGCTTGCAGGAAACGACCGAATAAGCCAGATAGGAATGGATATTTCATTGTAACCCCGCGGCTGAAAGCCTTTTGAGGCCTGCCAATAAGCCCCACTAAACACAATCAATAATATTAAGCCTAACACGCCACCCTTGCCGGGATATGCAGAATTCTTTCCCAATAGCTCGATTTGCACACTCCTACAGGGTGGTGAATGTGCAAGTTATGACAAAATCTGCGGGGTGATAAGCCAAGAGTGCCCGACAATAAATCCCGCAGGCAATCGAAAATGATGGCTGATGCGTACCTGGCGAGGCGAAAATGGCTAGGTGGTTGGATGGCACTATGAAATTTAAATACCCGACCCCTCTCTAACATTGTGGACTCGGGTCAGACTACAGTCTTTTGTTCTACCGTTTCTTTCTTCATTTGAGCGACTTTTCTACAGATCGCAATATGGTTTTGCCTTTAGAGTCTTACTTTTTTTCTGTCCTGGTATTCTTGCTTGAGAAATTGGTTTACTTCGAAAACTGGTGGTACGAGGTTATATGGTCCCATTGGCGGCCTTCGAGTACAACCACTCTAGACAAGCTTGTCAAGAGAAAAGAGGATGAAATATGGCATGCAGTAATCTTTGGCAAGGATGGACAAGTTCGAAGAATTTTCGAAGATCTCACAAATAAGCCCGAGGCACGTCTGACATTCCCTAATGTCACAGGCAATGGGGTAGCAGCTTTCTCGCCAAGTTCCTCGCCACGCGATACCGAGGCAGGTGCCCCGTCTTACCGCCCCGATACCAAACTTCAAGAAGCAGTTGAAATCGATGTTAAGGAACATGGGGTCTTCGATCGAGATGAGAACCGCGAAATGGCGGTACAAGCACGCCTTGAAGCCATTGCAGAGCGATTGGCGAACTCAAGCCGGAGCTTAACTAAAAAAGAGAAAGAAAAAGCACAGAAATGGTGGAGTAGCGGTTCCTTTTCGTTGTTATGGATGGCTATCCATCAAGACCACAAGTCAGATGTGGACTACCTACTGACTGAGCACAATCAAAAACTACATAAGGGCAATGGTTCGTCCAATGAAACCGTTCTCCATCTGGCAGTATCAAAAAACGACTTGGATCTTGTACGCGATATTCTCGAAAAGAGCTCCTACACATCACCGCATACATATATCAATGCCAGAGATAGCGGATCCAGGACCGCGTTACATAATTTGGTATCTTCACTCTGTTTACCTTATGCCTACCATAGTCCTGGAGACTTGAGCAAGGCCTTCGACATACTTGACTTACTATCTCAACATGGCGCCAACATAGATGCTTTGGATATGGGCTTCAGAACCCCCCTTCACACGCTTCTGTCAAGAACACTTAGCCGCAAAAGATTTTGGCCAGAAGAACTCTCAACTATTCCTCTAGATCGTCTGATGGATAAGCTCCTACAGGCTGGGACAGAAGTTAATACTAAAGACTTCCAAGGTATGTGATTTAAGCTGTCAAGCCTTGGATCCTGACAACCTTAACACCGAGCTCGCTTCTTGGTAGCACTATGCAGTCTAATAATAGTTCAGGAGATACACCTCTTCACATCGCTTGTGAATTGAGAAACATGGACGCAATCGCGAAGCTGGTTCGTAATGGCGCCGATCTTGGAAGTCTAAATCGTGATGGGAAGACCCCTAAACGGGTTTTCTCGGATGGTCAAGGGCTAGACGAAGATTTTTGGAAACGCATGGTTATACTATCCCGTAGAAAGCGAAGCACTGACACAGATTTATTCGCCCTATCAAACAGGCTTTCAAGCAGACGAGACAGAAATTCCAAAGCAGCAATAGCTGTATGCCAGAGATCAGCTGTATATTGCCGTTACCAATGGAGTGGTCTAGCCTCCAACAATAGCAATCCGCCACATTGGGCCGCAACAGACAAGTACGTATCCCATATTCTTTTTTCAGACAAACGGTCAGAGGGCATCCCGTTTCTGGCTGAATGCGAAGAGGAATGTGCACTTGCCTGGCAAGATCTTGTCGAACCACTCGGCAAAGAGGGCAAAGAAAACGAGCATAATACAGCTGGGGGGGCAACAGACGTTGATAACAGCGCCAAAGTGGCAAAGTATACATGGAGATGGTTAAACTTCCCAGAAAATAATGTGAGATACTGCCACGTGAGTATTGTATATCATAGTGCTCGGCTAATGTCTTTCTTCAAATAGATGACATGGATTAGAGTAAGTAGACAAGTACCTGGTGCTTCATCTTAATCCATTACTTTACTTCCAGATCATCTAACGGTTTAGGATTTCGTCGAAGACAATTTAAGTATTAGCAACATCGCTCGGAGATTCTTCGAAGATCACATGGAAGTGCGCAATACGAGAAACAAAGGTCATCTGATAAGGGTGCCACATGCTCATGTGAGTCACGAATATATGTTGGGATTTGGAATACCTGAATTTTTTTGTTTGGAATAATCCAAATCCGTAAAGATATTAACAAAGCAACAGATCATGAGCCAAGGGGCCTCTAAAGCGTATGATCCGGTCGAGAACACGGGCACCCCAACCAGATCAATGGTATCTCTTGTGGTACGTATTTAAATAGTAGCTCGTGAAGCTTGTTTAACGCGACTATATGCAGATTCCATTTATAGATATTGAGGTTGAAAACTCTTATGGCTCTACATCAACACCGGGAGAAGAAGCCTATCCCCCCTTTAATGGGATCAACGGAGTACAGATGCCGCAAACCTTGGACCAGACTTCTATCAACACCGACAGTCGATCAGAACTGCGATGCAAGGAGAATCAGGTCATTTACAGATGGTCGAAAAAGCAGGACTCTGGGCAAGAAAAGCGACTTCCGCTGGAATGGATGGTACGGAATCCGTTTTCCCCCCTCGCACGTCTCCTTCGTAAGGTGAGAAGATACCTCGAAAGCTGTGACAACAAAGAGTCCGCAATTTCACCTTTAGACCGTACGGGGCGAGCCATGGGAGACGAAAGGGCTGGCATTTCGACTGAGATGCAGAGGATCCTCAAGGACCGTCGTCCAAAATGGTTGATGGTAAGGCAGCTTTGGCTATGGAAATTCAATGATAGTAAGCATCTTATTCTTTGATTCTTTGATCTTAAGAGCGACGGATCTGACTTTAAAGACACTATTCTTTCTGCGATACCTTCCCGCACAAATTTGTGCATGGCTAATGACTTGCTTGAAACCATCCGACAGAGCGGCTTGAACGGGGTGTACGGCTCCGACGACCTTGTGAATCATATTTTGCAAGAAACCATTACTTTCCCAGATAAGTTTTTGCGGGCAGGGCTGGGCGAGCATATACTTGATGTGTTCGAAAGCGAGATCGCCGCTGAGGTACGCTCCCGGTAGTATCTATTGGCGTTAACGCTGTTAACTTTGTTTGACTTTTGAAAGGCCGACGAAGAAGCCACTTTCTACAATAACTTTGCTCACAACGACTGGAATTCCAAACACGCAAACAGAGCTATCAGCTGCACCTGGCGCGTTAAGGACATCCGTGATGAGCTACAACTTATCCGGAACGTGTTTGACAGTCAGCTGAAAGTTGTCAAGCAATTTGCCAAGGTTATTGAAGAACAGCCGATACAAACACCCGAAGACTTCAACTTTATTCCCTCTCTCAAATCAAAACTAGAGGGTATGATGCAGCGAATTGATTCAATGGATAGTGAGGCCAATAAGACAACAGAAAGTGTGAGTTGCAAAGGCTCCAGATCATAGATTGAACAAACGTTCGTTAGCCTGCCTTCACCGTGACTAACATATGATCTCTATAACTAGCTCAGCAACATCACTCAGGCGATGCTAGCTCAAGCAGCACTGAAAGAGGCAGAATCAGCTCGCTTGATGAACTTCATCATCCTACCATTCACTATTGTTACGGTTATCTTTGTAAGTTCACCTTCAGCCGAGCCAGAACATGAGCACGATCTCTAACTTTGACACTCATCCAAGACCCCTCTGTCATTCATGACAAGCCTCTTTGCCGTTAACTCGGATGGCTTCCCGCAAAATGAAGATGGGGAACTTCGCATCCCTTCAGATTGGTTCTGGCGGCGGATGGGTATGTTTATTCCTGGCAGAATTGAAGGCTCCTGTGGTGTCTAACATCAGCATTCTAGTAATCGGCGAGTTTGGGACCTTAATCCCACTCTTTATGTTTGTCCTGTTCTTGTATTATTGGCGGCGGAGTCCGGGAAACCTCTCTCGGGAGCAACTTGGCCGATAAGGAGCAGCTTGTAGTGTGCTTCATGGCTTCGGCTATCTTGAATTCTCTTGGCTGATGGTTGGGCGAGTCTATCAAGTGATGGTAGTATCTAAAGTTAGAAAAGCTGTGCAGTATACAAGATCCCAAGAAGTGAAAATGACAACATGAGGAGTACTGAGGCCTCTTGTAACCCTTCTTTTTCCAAAAACAGCCATAACAGTAAAAAGTCAACCCTGGAATACACGAGACCAGGATATAAATAACAACCCTCAAGCCAGACTTCTTTTACCTTACGACGATACCCCAAAATCTAGGTCTTTTTTCCCCATTATGGCTACAAAGCTCTTTCTTCTGCGGAATTCTGTCCACTGCATCACACTCGTTGCACATTACTTTTTGGCTCACCAGGCAAGGCTCAGAACGAAATCTTTCATAGAAACGGTTCCAAAACTCGTGCTTGGATAATGGAAGCTCGTCAAGTGGCCTCGGCTGGTAGAAATAGTCTTTGTCGAAAATCGGGGGCACACCGCTGCGACGCTCGCAATACTTTTCTGGGTGCCATTGCTCGAACTTGCTTCGTATGTGAGTTTAGGTTCAACGTTGTCAAGAAAAGATAATGGACATACCTGGTAAAAGTCGCAGTGAGAGAATGTCATGAGACCAAACCAAGTTTTAAACCATCCTTTAACTCGACGAAACTCAGATCTCATTAGGCGGAAAAGCTGCTCGTTACATAGGGACTTTGATTCAATAGCACTGAGCTTCAAGCCTCCTGAGTCTATGAAGAACATGATATATCGACTGGTCGACGGCATCGATATGGTCGCCGGGAGTGCGCTTGATATGATGGAAGTTTGGCCAGGCGTCACCTGTTGTATTGAAGGTTGCTGATACTTGTAGACTCCATGAACTGCGGTCTAGCTTGGAGAAGGTTCGCTATGACCCTTCAAAAAGTTTGGCGATGCCCCTGTTGGTGCAGAAGATACAGGTAGCGCCGGTTCTCGGATCTTGACCACTCGGCGCGCAAAACCACTTGGAACCACCTGTTTTCGAATATCTCCGCAAAGCTCAACGTCTGTTAGCTGTCATCGAGATTAAATGCATAGAAACTCACACATATCCAACTCAAGGTAGCGAAATTGGGCGGTGGCTGTAGTTGGGGCTCTGTAAATGGCCAACAGTTCCACTCGTTCGACAGAGCTGCCCTGAATGCAGACGTTGACTTATCCAGCCACGACGTTCGCTCACTTTCCTTCAGGTCAATCTTTACTGGCTTTTAGTAGAGAAGTTCTGATACCGTCTCTGCAACTCCCTCGTACTCTGAATTGTTCTGTCCCTTTTTCTACGACTTGGCCAAACGCTTTAGCCGTGACTCAAATGATGGGCTAACTAAATCGATTAGTCGCATGATAAAGACACTGAAAGAGCTCGTCGAGGCGACTAGACTCTGTATGCTGGGTATATCTGGCTGGACAGCTGGTTCATCTTCGGAACTAGAATCGTATGGCTCATCGCCTTCAGACACTAAGTAGGTTTCCGTGCTCGCAGAAGGTCTTTCCTTGCCATCCCATCTTTCGTCTCTGGACAATCCATTGATAATCTCACTGGAAAGTAGCTTGGAAGACTTCTTGAAGAACCCACCTATTCGCGTTGCTTCTGGATACCGCAATTCTGCTGACAAGTCTTGGCCAAATAACTCCAGTAACTTTCGAAGTTTGACTGTAAACCTTTTCCAATCGATATCTGCATCTTTAAATGCAGGCTGTATGAGCTTTCGTAGGTCTATAGTGCTGTAGAGAAGATCGATAAATGCCTCGTTTGCTGCACGCTGTTCAGTCCCTCCACCGGCAACAGAGGTGGGGGCAGTAGATGAAGATAGGCAGCTGTTGGAGGCATCGCTACTTTTGTAACCATCAAATCCGAGGTCAATATGGTTCCAATCTCTCTCGAAGAGGTGAGGTGTTAACTGTGAACCAGAGCTTGGATTTATAAGAGAATGGGTATATACCTCAATACAGATGGTTAGCAGTAGAACGAGAGATTGTTATTTCAACATACTGTCTCTAAATATGCCTTTCAAGAAGATCTTTACGATGGAAGGCCTCATTGCAGTCTTCAATGGGACAAAATAGATCACGAGGTGAGTGACTAAGTTCATGGCCACTAGATTCTTAGGGCGATTTATCACGTGTGTAGGCAATAGCGTACCTTAGGTGTTCTGCTCTTGAGAATGTCTGAATACATTAGAGATACGATTAAGAAGCTGTTCTTTGAAGTAAAACAATATACCTTATGACATTGGCTACATGATTGAACTGGAACACTAATCTTCGCCTTTAAAATCTTCCTGGCGATAGGCCTTAAGTTGATGTGCGACCCTTTGGTGGCCGCTATAGCCGTGGAAGACATCATTTGACTGTCATATGGTGGCACTAATGTCGTGTCAACTGACATGCTTTTTGAATGTGGGTTGGTGCAAATGCCGTCCATCCCAGTTCGTGTTCGGTCGATGGTACCGCTTGCGTTTCCTTCTCGGTCCTGGAGTCCAACTTCGCTGTCCCTTTTGGTTGCTGGTTACTAAGAACGTAGAATGAATATAAAATGAGGAGCGCCTGTGTAAACAAGCGGCAGAGGAGGACAAGCATGAATAACTTGGTTTATTGAAGAATCAGGAAGAGCGCTGTGACTGATAGGTAATTCCGAAATTGGAACTGGACATAATTAAACGATTTCAAGAAAGCATATTATGTAAAAGAGTGTGTAATTCATCTGGTTTCTACTCAATAGTATGTTGAATACTTTGCGTTGCAACTAATGAATGATAAGTTGGGATTCTACTTGTGCAACCCCTCGAACCCTAGCCCGGCGACTCAGAACTATCGTTATCATTGACCCCTAAACGACAAGCTTGAGCTCTCCTCCAAGACCATTCTCGGCGATGACGGAGATCGTAGTCTGCGCAATCGAGACTATGTATATTGTTAGTGGTTCACAACATTCTCGAAATGGAATACTGAGTCCAGTTTGCCAGATTTGGTGCCTTACATTTGACGATGGCGGAGGCATAGCCCTTGAAAAGATATCCACTGGTGACCTTGAAGAGCTTGATAGTGTCGTTGTTATAGGTGACTAATGCTTCATATGCTTCACCTTTGAGGTTGGCCTTTTTGCCTTCTGCGATCGTGGCATCATCTCCAGACGTATATTTGAACTTGATGTCTTTGACTTCTGGACCAAGTGAAATGGTAGTAGAGTTATCTCCTTGAAAGTTGAGAGACATGGTTACGATAAGAGTAAAGTGGTTAAAGAGGAAGAAAGGGGATATGAAGTGCAGTGAAGTGCAGTGAAGCGCAGTGATGAGGGAGTAGGATTTCTGGGGGGGAAATGCTTGGTTTATATAACTCGTGCTACAATGAGATATGTCGAAGAATGAGGACAGAATTTCGAAAGGCTCGGCAGCTTTTCGAGGGCAAGTACAAGCACTGCTGATGACACTCACCGCCTCAAATCACGAGCTATTCGAAGGCGTTTACGACTACATGGCTGAGGTTATGCTATCTTGAGACATTATTCTTTTTTGCCTTCGAGGCGTTACGGTCTCTGATGCCGGCGTGAATCACGGTTTCTCGACCGGTCTGGTCCTGTCACATCTTCCCCCCCTCCCCTTCCACCCTCTCGAACCTCTGCTGTGGAGCATCTCGAATTATGCACCCCCGACTGCATGTCTAGAATCAAAAATTCGTCTAAACTATTTTATCAAGGGTAGTGCTTAGGGGAACTCAATATTGTCTTGTCCCAACGAGGCAGGCTGACCCTCAAGCCGGTAAGGTGAGTAGGTGAGTCGTAGAGACATCAAGGCATAGACCTATAACTTTTAAGCAAGGAATGCACATACTGAAACCTGGATTGGGGCCAGATGGAATGTCTCAGCGCTCTCATGCCTCGTTTGAAGGGTTCTGTAGGTTATAAGCCACATTGACAACCACTGGATGCTTTCATTTCCGGGGCTCGGTCGATGCCTTTCGACTTCCGTCACGCTTCCTGAAATACAAGTTCTTGAACGTGATACTCACCATATTAAACAGACATGTGGCTGGCTGACGCGAGACCTGCCTTTAGCTTATACAAGTTTGGAAGTTTGCTGTTGCGTGGCAATTAGCCCTGCATATTTGACTCATATTGCTTCATGAAGCCGATAGCTGCTTGATGAGACTTCACCCTCATACAATAGGTAGCTACGCATACGCCGTATCTCCTAGGTAACCCTGGCGCTTGCGAGTAGAGCACCTAAAGGGGGCGAACCCAAGCGCTTAGCTAATTTTGAGTGATTGGTTGCTTAGAAAGGTCCTTAGGGGATCAAAGGTTGTGTTTATGCTGCAGACGCCATTGGGCATTAAAGCTTTATCAACAAGGAAGAAGCTCCTTCAGTATAGCAAGCAAAAGGGTAAGTCTCCATAGCCCATCGGGCTGAAAGTGGCTGGCTGAGGCTTGCGACGGCGAACCTTTGAGACTGCATCCGCATGAGCACGCCATACTTCGCAAGAAAACACCAATGACCACGAGGCGGGCACATCCGGTGTATTCGACGATTCATATCTAGTAGCTTCGTTTTGGCTTCCCATGGCCTGTCATGTTTCAGTTGAAAGATTACAGGAGACTCGCTGTCAGAGTGATTGGCAATTTGATGGCATTATCTGAGGAATGTGACAGCCTAGGGCGCTTTAGAGGATCTCCATCTGCTCCATCACTCCAATTATATCATGTTGATACTCCGGAGCTAGACTTACCAGTGTCGCTGCCATCGGGGATCTCGAGAAGCTTGATGGGGCACCCGATAGGGTTAATGCACTTATAGCCCTTTCTAGTAGTAGACTACTTGGCGTAGAAGGGAATACTGAGGATAAGCTTGTGAGCGGGGAAGCCGAGGGAGAGATACTTGTCGATGGCATAAAAGACATTTCTATGATGGGCCTGGATACGTGATGCGGATGAGAAGTTTTCAAGCCTCCGTTAATGCAAGCTTCCTTTTTCGGCTTTATGGCTTAATATGTTTTCGTCGCAGGAGCTGAAAGTGAAACATACACCGAGCGGCCTAGAATATGGCGTGACTTGGTATACACTGCTCAGTATGAAAGGCAATGAGACTTGAACCCCTCAAATACGACCAACGTAATGTGGGAGATAACTGTGCGTGATAAGCGGTGAGGGCTATATGAAAGAGCTTCCACGGGCTTTGAAAGTTTTGGGCGTACTCAATTGCAGGGAAGACAAGGAAAACGGGGCACCTTGCCAAAGCCCAAACCCAAAAACACAACTTCTACAAATTATATTCACATTTTTTTTCGATCCGGTGCAAAGATCGCAACATGGCTTTTATTGTTTTTAACAACAACAGTCTCACTGCTGAGCTCAACAGCGCAGTATCGTATGTGAGCTTGTTCAACGATCGAGCGACCCTCCGTAATAGTACAACGGACACCACCCTGTTAAACGGCAAGTCCCAGAAGCTCAGGGTTGAGTACACCAACAACAACCCTCAACCACGGATCTTCACGGTCAAGATAGGGGTTGAGTTTCCTGAATACAGGAATATCAGATTAACTGGTAGGCTGATTGGTCTTTTTGCGAACTAAGCTAAAGGTTTAATAGGCGGTGGTCCGAATGATGCTTATGTAGAAGTCAACGATTTTAATGGGCATCGGGGTGTCTGGAGCAGGTAGAATGTCGTCGTTCGAGGAATAAATAGTGAAATAACCGGTCGATGCCGGGAGGCTTCAATTCAAGGTGCCATGACGGAAGCTATAGCTCAATGCAGGGATCTTTGCATGCTGGTTTTGGTTAAAGCTCAGTTGGATAAGTTGAGATACGACAGGTTCGCCACATGTCTCGAAGAGCATCCTCTCAACGAATTTAGCATCACATTCGAACATCATATTCTTATATTCCTATTCAAAACCGCGAGCTTCTTCTGTTGACACTTTAGCCCCTTTACATTTAAAACTCCTTCAAGTAATCCCCAAGGAATCTCTTCAAAAGTTCGAGAATTTCCAAACCCCCATCAAAACCAAGGCTATGAGCGACCTTTGCCGCCTCGTTTCCCGCCGCCACCATGGCGCTTTCTACAAAGCGAAACTATGCATCTTTAGTCTAGGGGTAATCATGCCCGGCCAGTGAGACCTACCTGATATGGTTTGTGCTCTTTATCATGAAGCACGAGAAAGCGCTTTGTCTGTTCTTTGTTCTGGCCATATAGGAAGTCTTGGTTGATTCGTACGGTGTACGAGTCTTTGGAGCGATCATGCTTGAGACGAAACTCATCGGCTTTGCTGACCTGAATGAAGATCTTTCCGGTGATATCTAGTACCAGAGTTAGCATTGACCTACGACTTCTCTGCGATGGGACTTGCCAGTGTTCGTGCCAGCAGTACTACGGTACTGAGCTGGGATGTACCTTTCGCTACGAGCACCCCATTGTTGCCATTTGACAACAATTGGTTCGTTGTCCAGCTCCACGTCACGTACGTAGATGGTATCGCCTTTTCCGATCAAAAGAGCCATTGTAGTTCCTGTGCAGGATGCAGGATATGGAGGGACAATGATGCAGAATGAAAAGAGCGAGGGTGATATGAAGGATCTCGGGATATCAGTTGACATCGAACCATTGATTAATAAGCCTTTTGCGTGGAAACAAATGACTTTGATCGCAACTGTACTGTCTTGCCTCAGCCAGCCTGGGTGAAAGCCACACCCACCACACTAAAGTGAAACATGGCTCCTTGGGCCACTCAAGCCCGCTGTATGATAGCTTTCGTCGCTTGACCGTAGCTGGCCATTGAATTGGATGCCGCTTCGGCGGAAGCTAAATGTCAATTCGAAAGAGTAGACTACCCGTCTATGATGGAGCGGGCCGCACGTCTAGTTAGTATCTAACTAGGGTGGGGATGCCTCGGATTCAGTTACAGCGTTGTATATCTCGGCGATCGATAGAATGAGTCGCTGTGGCCACGATCTTAGGTCATGAAGTGCGTTTTTGCCTTGGAAGGAATGTGACTCCATGCCCAAGGCCAGTGATGGTTTTTTGTGGCTGCAGGGAGTAGTCTTGTGCTACCAATGACTTCTCGCGTCATTGGGGCATCTCGTTTCACATGGCCAATGAGAACAATCACTGCTTTGTCTTTGGGGAAAACTAAGACATGCAGCAAGCTATCGACATAAACAACCCGGGGGTAATTACCTATTGCAGCCAAAATCATCTAGCTTCCTGAACAACGTCCAGGCAGCCCGGTGTGGAATCGTTGATTCATCTGTGGGTCATTTGGCTTCATTTCACCCAACCATTACGGCATGCGTAGAGAGTCTAGCAACAAATAATGCTGCAAAGACACCACGTTCCCCGCTTCATTGGGAGGAGAATGGGCTGGCTGATATTCCCAAATGTCTCTAGCCTGTTTCAGTTTATGCCTGCATACTTCAAAACCTGTCGGCTTCATTGATAAGTTTCGACCCCACTGCCGGATTGAACAGCAAGCAGTGAAGGCGGTGAGAACCGCAGTGGCTATCCGATATCTGTATTTGGCCATTCTTGGTTCACAGCTAGCCACTGAAAAGCCACAATACCGCTTTCTTGCAAATTTGTTACGGACAATGGAATATTTCTAATGCAAGTCTTTCATTTTCACTACTGTCTCGGATTTGGTTGACTTTAGTGGCGGGAGGAAACGATCTCGGGACCATAACCGTCTGTTCCGCGCGGTATGGCGCATGTCGTTGACGAAAAGGGGGTGAACAAGCGAACGGCCCGTTTTAGCGTTCTGGCTGCTAGCTGAGCCTCAAGCCATGGAAATCGGCAGTTGTGGTCCTCCTTTCAGAACTTGCTTTTAATTGAGGGAAAAAAGTAGCAGCGTCTATTCAGCAATGAGCAAACAACCAGGTGAGTACATTCCAGATACTTGGTCCCGTGATTCTGCTGATCATTACAGCGCGATTAACGAGGTTGAGCTCCCATTGGATCCCTGTTGCCAGTTCATTGCCCTCGGAAGTCTTAACAAGGCTCATGCCCTTCCCCTAGTCACTTGCAGCAGTCGAGGATAAGACGTATTTGGCACCATAACAAGCACTAAGCCACACAGGATACGATACAACGCCATTCAGGGACTTATACGCAGCTTAGGGGTAGCAGAAGCGTGAGGCTGGCTGAAGTGGTTAATCTTTGCCAGACACCGGCTGAGCTGGCTAATGCATAGTTGCCACGGATAACCGATTAACCCTTGTACGGTCAAGACATTGAGCAGCCAGGATGCAACTGGACGGACGAGGTGCTCCTGAAAGTCGCCACGCCCATTCTCGTATTGCGAAGCTACGCCCTGAGCGCCTTTGCATAACCTAAAACGGTCAACCTCCCTCAATCCACGAGGATATTCAGCTGAAGTTTTGGAACTCAAAGTTAAATCTCGGCTATTAGCACATAATTTGAACTGCAGCGGCTGTTAATATAGAGTCCTATAGAGTCCATCCGGCATAATGAGGGTTAAACTTCTAAGTACAGAACCACGGCGCACTTCCTAGCCAGCCATGTATCGTATCCGCCAGCCACAAACGGTGTATCCCAACCGTTTTAGGAATGTCCTAGCTGTAAGTTGAGCTGCTACAGAACAACTTGCATCATTTCCGTTCCTTATCAGACCGCTGTGGGTCTATGTACATATCTCGACACCCATCATTGACATTTGAAGCAAGCCACTCTTCTGATCACATTTCTGCGGCATCCGGATTGCGATCCGTCCATTGACACTCAAAAACTCTGCCTTAAGTTTGCTACTTGCAAATTGCAATACACTTGGGATTCAATTTCCATTGAGACCTCCTCTGGAACTCATCCCACTAGTGTCGTCTCGTGTGCACAATCTGACTATTCCTTTCCCTTGTGCTGGGTCATCGGAGTGACAATGATTCAAATGAGAGAAATCATCTTAAATTTTTATAGAAAAAGTCGAACACCTTGGCTGTATTACAGGAGAGCTTGTGTGAAGTGTAGTATTATATCTCTGTTCTGCTTCCTTGACTGTCCCTCCTCCTTCTTTCTCGCCGTAGATAAACATTTGCGTTTACCACTTTTACAATTCGCAAATTATTCCATCGGTCCATATCCCCTCAAGCAAGTATCTTCACAGACCCTATCCAATTCTCCACTCGTAGAATGTAAGGTGATTCATCATGCTGGCCGATCCTCTTTGGGGATTGTTCGCTGCCATGTTGCTATGCCTTTTGGGCCTGGTCACTGCCGAGGAGTGCAAGTTTGATCTCTGTCTCCCTGGATACTACTAGATGTTCTGTTGACCGAGTGTGCTAATATATGCCAAGCAGTGACTAAAACTAACTTATGGGATCCTAAGAACAACACCTCACGTTCTGTAAATGAAAAGACGATGGTCGAATGTGGTGGCCACATCAAGCAATGCGAAATCATGGAAGATATCAAAATCGTTCGGTCACCAGTCAGCACCTTATATGTTACCCAGAACTTCACAACCACAACAGAGAAGGTATATTCCTTTTTAGGTGATATATCTAGTATTGGGGGCTGATAAATAATCCAGATTCTCCCAACACAGACAGTTGTGATTAAATCAGTCGCGGTCGTGACTGTCAATAACCAAACACAAGGTAACTTAACCCCCTCCTCTACTAGTCAGAGCTAAGACGTGAACGCATCTATGAGCAAGTTGGGGAAGATATTTCACCGGAGCATCCTGGGTTCATCTTCCAGGGCGATTAAGTTCGCAATGGGAGATAATATGAACTCGTGGTTGGAGTAAATGTACACTATCCTGAGGGCTTTGATAGAACTATATCTCGATTTGACGACCTAATGGACTTGTCTGACTTGCAAAGGCTGAGGCTTAACTATCCTCATTTGATTGCGATATAAATATAGTCACTTTACACTGCCATTTGAGTGTGTTTAATTGCATGGCCATTATTCTACCTTTAGCTGTTCACGGCTTCACACTTCATCCGATGGCCGACCAGCTGAAGAGGGCACGTGAGTGGACCTGGTACTGCACGCAATTTCGTCGGTATCTCAGGGCATTCGAATATGCGGGAGCCTTTAGCTCGGCTTCTGGCCATCATAACGAGGCGCTGATTAATAATAGATGCCCCATACGGATATGGTTGGCGGTCGAGGAGGAATGTCTTGTGCAGGATTACTGACACGAGACAGTCAACCCTTCAATTGTAGCCGTGCAAATAGGGGTTTCTATCAAAGAGAGTCTAATGCAGGTTATAAAGTTCTCAGTGCTACTTTCTGCATTACTCGCAAGGACTTCCTCTCCCGATCTTAAAGTTTCGGAAGGCTTACAGAGCGTCTTCGTTCTCACACATCTCTCTACTCCGCTGACGGCTCTCTTAGCCGGTGAGATGCCATGGCCTGGCATGCGAGCCGTCCTGATGAGGGGCTCATTAATTCATTGTTAGAGGTTATAATAACTTAACTCCGAACCCTGCTGATTTTTGTTTGCCCCGGATAGACTAGCCATGGCGGTGAGGCACTAACCAGTCGGCTTGCACGGCAAATCCAAATACCCCTGGCTACTTGGACACGTCCCGAGCCGAAAGCACTAAGAAAGTTAGTTTGCATTCTTCCAACCAGCCTGGAATCAAAGCGGAAACGGAAAGCTCAGCAAAATAATTTCGGTATCCCCCCTGCTGCATCCGGTCATCTGCTTTCGGCACTTTTGTCCCGACATTCTAGGCTTCATTTGTGTCATGATATGATCGCAGGCTGATTAGATAGCATCGCACACCTATAAGCCCTGGTCCAAATATCAGTATTATATCGAGTATTGTGATCTCAGGCAGAGGCCGAGGCCATGGCGAAGTACTGTTTTCTATGTTGATTCAAGCTCTTAGCTATGAGCCTCCACCACAAATAAGACATCTAGCTCACAACTTAGACATTATACCATAATGTATTCATGAAGTAAACGTGTTGCTGCTTTCTTAGGCGGAAGAAACATCACAGTCAGGGGCGGAACAACCAAGCTCATAGACTAATGCCTTCAACTATAGTCCATGTAACACACTTTGGAGTGTAAGTTGGCCGAGTTAAGCACAACACCTAGGGGCTCACAGGATTCATTGTTCCAGGCCCTGTGCATGGTTATTGGTGATATGATATGCAATTATGATGCAAACATAGAGTTTGTAGCACAAAATGACATGAGCATTTCTTACGATACCTTTTAAGCAAAAATTCCATTTTTGATAATCAAATCCTTTTCGTTAACCTCGATATTCTGTCTATCACCCAAGGCCTGCCTCACGACCACTGCCCTTGGCCTCGTATATGCACAATTTGGTCTTGTCTGAACAGCCTGCCTTGCTGAAGGTTTAGGTGTGATGACGAGTATTCATATGTACGCCTTGACTGTATCCCGAAATAAACCTTACGTAGGCTTACCCACTTTATGCTTCAACGGCTCAAAACTCATGGCTGAGGAAGATATCTCCCGTGTGCACAGGTATAAATTCACCTATACTTCAGAGTGAAGCATCGCGGTCTCTTCTATAGGCAACAATCTCATACGCATAGCGCTACTTCGTTCCCACTACTAGCCAATCTTCACAAAACACCAGCAGAATGGAGTCTATCAACCGATTTATGATTGGTGTTTTTGGTCCTACAGGTGCCGGCAAGACTAAATTAGGAGTCTCCATAGCCAAGTCCGTCCATGGCCAAGTCATCTCGGTTGATAGTTTGCAGTGTTACTCCCCCGGGAGTAATATCACTGCTAAGCCTTCTCCTGAAGAAACGGATGGAATCGACCACCATATGATCGGATATCTGGAGGCTGACGAGGAGCCAACAAATTTCGTGGCAGAAGCAATCGAAACATTGGAGAAACTCTGTGACCACGGGATTATACCTGTAGTCGTTGGAGGCTCAACATCGCTCACTTTGCCTCTCCTGCAAGATGCGTTGAACCGTGGATGGCGTATGGCTGCTATCACTCTGCTGCCGCACCAGTCTACCTATCTCAGCAACATCGCATCCAGACTGGATGACATGGTAGATGCAGGCCTTTTAGAAGAGCTTTCAGGTCTGAAACTCCTCGAAGACAAGTATCTGAACGAAAAGCCCAACTTTCGAAAGGGTGTTTGGAAGGCAATTGGCTATCAGGAATTGTACCCGTATCTTGAGGCTCAGAGAGGCGGCGGACAGTACGATCAGCTGCTCAAGACTGGGCTAGCCTCGATGAAAGAAAATACCTTTCAATATGGGATGATGCAACTAGAATGGATTCGCCAAGAACTCTGTCCGTTTCTTCACGCCGAGAAAATCGCGAACATGAGCCTTACGGTTGTTGACAAGACATCTTGGATTTCGGATGTTGAGAAACCTGCAATTCGAATGGCAAGTGATTTCTGCCACGTTTCAGCCTCGATCAATTTCCGTTCTGTCAACGGAGAAAAGCCTCGAGTACTGTGCATCTTGTAATAAAGCCCTATTCCCAATGCTGGATGCAGAAGAGCTAATTTTCTTAGTGGTGGTTCGTCATCTGGTAACGAGCCGGCCCATATAGAAGCCGCCAAGTCACTCGGCAGAGTCTGTCACGAAAACAGCATCAAGCTTGTGTACGGAGGCGGTACCACTGGAGTGATGGGCGCAATCGCAAGCACTCTCGTTGAACTTTCTGGACCTGATGCTGTTCATGGTATTATTCCCGAGGCACTGCTGAAATACGAAGCCAAGGAATTGGGAAGACATCCTAAGGATCCTACTTACGCCAGATACGGTAAACGGACTGTTGTTCAGGATATGCATACTCGAAAGCGCTTGATGATCCAAGAGGTGATTGATGGGGGCGAGGGAAGTGGCTTCGTTGCGCTGAGTGGAGGCTATGGCACTCTCGAAGAGCTCTTTGAGGTGACAACTTGGCATCAGCTAGGTGTCCATGACCGCGGTGTCTGTCTACTCAACACGGGTGGGTTTTTTGACGGGCTTGTCGATTGGCTAGCCAACGTGGTCCAGAAAGGCTTCATTGGCCTAGAGGATGCTGCAATTCTTAACATTGCCAGTACAGCTGATGGGGCTGTCAAGTGCTTGGATCACAAACCTGGTTTTTCTCGCAAGGGTGTACTAGATTGGGTCTAGTTTATGGCCATGAAAAAAGTTCGATTACTATCTCGCCAAAAGTTTATACGATTTGGCGAGGTCATGGCGGACTTTAGTTATTTTGGGACACCTCTCAGCTAGCTTTACTCGCCAGGGTAATTAACTTTCTTGGAACACGGGCCGGCTCGTGGATGGGGGTAACGTTCATACAGCTACGACTGGTGTCCCTCGAACAATCTTGTCACTTCAATCACGGATCCGTGGTTCCCGCGTGATGCAAACTTACAAGCATGTAACTACAAATGGCTCCTAAGAGAAGGCTCTATAGACAGAAAACAGTTTCTTTAGTTTGCTCAACAACCTCATTGCCTTAAATGCCGATGGCTGTCTTACAAGCTCACTTCGATCCGGCTTATTATTGCCTCTTTTTCGTACTTGGCATTTTGACTCATCTGTTTATTTTCCGCCGAGGCGAATGGAACCTCTATGTTTTCAACATCTTGCAAGCCTTTTTTGTCCTCGAAAGCAGCTTGGTATACATTGTTGCTCGAGCCGTCGCAGGTGAAGATTTCACTTTATGGAAAGTCACTGCCATATCGTCTTGTTTCACACTATCAACCTTGACGGGATTGTCATTTAGTATGCTCATCTACCGGGGCTGGTTCCACCGATTGAGTCGATTTCCTGGCCCTTTTTGGGCTAGGCTGTCTAACCTGTACATCACATTTCACGCCTTCAAGAAATTCCGTCTTTTTGAGGAGGTGCAGCAGTTGCATAGAAAATATGGGGATATTGTTCGGATCGGTGAGTAATTGCTTTATACTGGTACCCCTTTCGCCTGCTCATCACAAATAAAAGCCCGACAAAAGTTGTTGTACTCACATGTTACAGGGCCTACCGAACTATCTATCATAGATCCGCTTGCCTTGCAAGCTTTCCATTCAAACAGCTCTCCTTGTACTAAAGGCCCGTGGTACAGCGTCGAACACCCTATCAGAGCTCTGCAGATGACCAGAGATAAGGAGGAGCATGCCCATCGGCGTAAGGCATGGGATTTGGCGTTCAGTTCTAAAGGTAAGTGCAGCATCAATATCAGGCGAGATCGGCTAACATATTGAGAAGCACTTCGGGAGTATGAAGCACGAGTGGCTGGGTATACTACCCAACTATTTGAGCAGATAGAAGCATCCCAGGGCACCTCCATCGACGCATCTTTATGGTTCAACTTTTATAGTTTTGATGTTATGGGTGACTTGGCCTTTGGGAGAACTTTCGATATGCTCAAGAATGGAACAGCACATCCATTTATGAAACTGGTTCATTCCAACATGCTTATGGCTGGTTCTCTGAGTCATTTGACCTGGATCTTCCCACTTCTTAAACGCATTCCGGTATTGAATCAGAAGAACCTCGAGTTTCAGGGATGGCTCAAGCAACAGGTCGATTGGAGACAGAAGGTATGCAAAA